GACAGAAACAGATTTCTGCAGATGGGAATCAAGACAGGTTTCTCTCCGTTGTCTTGGAAACATGACTTAAACCTTAGAAGACATTCAGCGGAATGATAACGAGAATTTCAACCAGCTGAGGGGTTATGGAGTCACATCTAACTGACGTGTACAGTTTGGTAACTAACTCCCAAATAAAAAGTGCTTCTTCATCTCATTTAATTCCACTGTAAGCCATTTGGCATGCATATGAAGGCTGTAGAATCTTTAAATTGAAATTTTTATTAGATTTGTTGAGGTAACATTGGTTAATAACATTATACAAATTTCAGGTGTACAGCTTTATAACACAACATCTGTATGCTCTATTGTGTGCTCTTGTAGAACCTTAATACATAAACGGAATAAAGTAAATCAGACAGCAGACAAGCTGGCTGTTGTACAATTCCACACCTGTTTCCACACCTAGTTGCTTCCAGGACTCCTTAGACCCATGGTTGGCAAACTGAGACTTTTGAGCCACATGCAGCTCTTTGGCCCCTTGAGTGTGGCTCTTCCACAAAATGCCATGGCCTGGGCGAGTCTAATTTGAAGAAGTGGCGTTAGAAGAAATTTAAGTTTAAAAAATTGGCTCTCAAAAGAAATTCCAATTGAACTGTTGATATTTGGCTCTGTTGACTAGTAATGAGTTTGCCGACCATTGGGTTAGACAGTTACCTGACAAGGCAGAATGGTTGGAATGTCAGCCAGCTGAGGAGATCTCCCATAAGTGGTTCTTAAGTTTTAGCTGGCATGAGAAATGTTCTATCAGGCTGTGCACACAAGTCATGTAGCTGATCTCTGCAGAGCCATTTTGACAATCCCAGACGTGGTTTTGCTGCCAATAGCTCTGAGGAGATGTGGGTGGGGGAGAGAGTGCATTCAGCTGACAGCCCTGTGTGACGTGCCTGCCCGGCTGCTAGGACTGTGGTCAGGGTGGGTCTTCTGCTTACTGCGCTCAGGTGTGGCAGGGATAAGGCGACAGATCCATGTATGCCGTGTCCAGGAGGCAAAGGACACCATCCTGGCTACTCCTGGCCAGGCATTGGGCCTGGGTGTTCGTGATTCTTGAGAGCCTGATGAGACCCTCTGTCTTGTGTCAAGCTCAGCAACCGGTGGCCTGATCAGTAGTGATCAGCTCGGCGGCCTTGGTAGCTCACCACTTCCCTGGAGGATGCTTTTCCTTCAGCGGACATTTGACAATGTCTGAGAACATTCCTGAGCGTCATGACCGAGAGGGGCTGTGGATGACCGAGGGAGGAGGCCAGGGATGCTGCTAACCATCCTACAGTGCACGGGACGGCCCTACAACAAAGGGCTGGGTCTCCGAATGCTCACTGGGCCAAGGGTGAGAACACCTGGCTAGAAACTTCCTTTCCCCGCATTTCAACGGAAGCAGCAGTGACTAGATCTGGAAGCCTGGAGAGCTAGCTGACGCCTCGTGGAAAGATGCGTGCGGGAGGATGAAGTGTGGGCTTCTGAGGACAGCGGTGTGCACCTGCATTACTCATTCTGCAGAGTGTGCCTGAGTCCGCCCTCACCCTGCAGAGCCGGGCTGCTGGTTAGTCTGAGGGAAAGTGAGGAGGTCTAATTCTACTTGGTTCAGTGAGTTCCCAGGGGGCCCCCACCTGTCTGCGCTCAGTGGCTGCTGGGTACACAGCTCCCTGGCCTCCTCTTCTCCATGGAGACCCAGTGGGAGCCTCGTCATTGTGTTCCCGCCTGCTCACCAGGATTTGTGGGAACCTCGGGGAGAAATCAATACCAGCTCCGGGGGAGGCGGCACACTTGGCTTTTGATTCCTGGAAGGCCGGGTGACTCTTTCCGTGCAACCCTAGACTGCTTTGTGTGGAGGTGGGAGGAGGGTGCTCCCAGCCCCTTCTTCCTCCTATTATTTATCCTCCGGCCCCTCCGGAGTGCAGGCTCTTTGTGTTGAATAGAGTTACCTGAGAGGCACACCGAGTCTGTTTTCTTAACTCTTATTCTAGGGCGTAATTGAATCTGGATCCGGAATTGAATGGTGCCTGGCAGACACAATACAGAGTCCTTACAATTCACAGGTGAGGGAAACACTGCCAGGCAGGAGGAGGCCACACCGATCCTCTGCTTGTCTTCGCACCTGGCGGCTCCATAGTTACCTAACCAGTCTGGTCACTGTTTTCAAGTTTTGGGAATTGCAACCAAAACCACTGGCACTGTTATGGTTTAGTTGATAATGATTCCTGAGGAAAGGTCTAGAAAAGTAAAATGACTCCACGTGAACCCAAAATTTGTAGGCCTGGTGCAGTTGCCCACAGTCCCTCGGAACGTGTACCAATGTGTACCCTGAAGAGATGTGTATGGACACGAGCTCTGGGTCTGCAAGTCACACCAAGGGACACGGTGGGGTGGCCACGTGCTCAGAGCCCCGTGCAGGCACCTCCCAGGTATGGCCCGGTGGCTAGGAGACTCATTGTCACGTGGCCTCTGCCTACGTGGCTGCAGTGTCACCTGTTTCAGGAACATGCCAGGCCCTCTCCTGCCCGGGGTCTTGGCACTCGCAGCCCCGGGGCCTGTAGAAACCTGACGTCTGTCCCCATGGCTGACCTCCCACCTCTCAGACCTTGCCTCACCCCCTGCCTTCTCAGCGACGCCTCCCTGGCTTTCCTGGTTAACATGGAACTCCTGCCTTTTCTCCCAGTGCACTCCCACCTGTCAGACTCTCCTCGCCGCGCCGTTTCTCTGCACACCCCTGGCTGCCATCTAACATGTGGAACCCAGCATTGCGGACGACACAGCGTGGGTTTGGGGAGTGAGTGCTGAGCGAGGAGATGGGCCCTCGCTGGTCAGGGCTGAGGAGCCGGACGGTGGCCTTCCCTTGTTGCCTGGGCCAGAGGAGCCACCGTTTTGTTTGGGTTCCTTTCCCTTCCTTGTCAGCTCCGGTGAAGGGAGTGGCTTATGGGACTGGCGCCGCTGCTGAGGCTGCCATGATCAGCTCTGGCCTGTGGTCGCAGCGATGGCCAGCGGTCCCGGAGAGAGGGCCAGGCTGCCTTGGTGAAGACCCACATGCACGCGTCTGATGACTGTTCGCACAGAGACCTGCCTCTATAACCACAAGAACCCGAGAGGAAATGGGGCAGAGGATATGGACAGTCCAGAGGGGTGGACCTGGGACCTGGCCTTTCATGTCCGGGCTCACTCACTGTGGGAGAAGTGCAGGTTCAAGGGCACCGAGATCTGTCTTCTTCGCAGCGTCAGGTGGGCTAACGTGCAGGCCCTTGGGGAGGCTGCGGTGGCAGGCAGCCTCATCTCTTACTGGAGGGAGTGCCACGGCACAGCTCCGAGGAGGCCCGTTTGGGAACAGCCATGAGAATTTGAAACCGCCTCTGCCTGCTGGTCCAGCAATTCCACTCCGCCCTGCTCCGGGCAGGATGTATTTACACGTGTGCAAAGCGGTGTTTGCGTCAGCTGACTGACCCCGCCTCCTCGGTAACAGCCGCAGGGAAGAATCACCCGGGGCCCGGCAGAGGACGGGTCATCAGATAGGTGGTCTCCACGCAAAGAGCCAGGATGCAGCCGTGAGAGAAGCAGGCGCAGTATTCTGCGAACAGAGAGATTGCGAAGAGACACAAAGAGCCCAGACCAGGGGAGAGGGTGCTGCCTTCTGTGTGCGGGACAGGGCGGTGCGTGTCTGCATTTGCCTTGTGCACGTGAAGCCGTTGTAGAACAGTGTTTCCCAAAGTGTGGTACGTGAACCCCAGGGGTACGGGAAGAGTTTGGTGGGGATATGCACTGCACCGTGCTTAGCTGCGCCTAATTCTACGTTCTCATGAGTACGAGGGGTACTCAGCGTTACGAAAATTATAGAAGGGGTACACATATGTCAGAAGTTGGGAAACACCGTTGTAGAGGAGTCAGAGAGACTAATGCCCCTGGGTAATTGGATGGCGGGTGGGAGTCTGAGCTGATACAGGTGGTTGGCCACTTCCAGAGGAGGGAGAGTCTACATTGCATGTCATTACACACACACACACACACACACACACACACACACACACACACCTGTTGAATCATGTGTTTGACCTGTTGAAAAATATTAAGTTCGCCTGGCCAGCGTGGCTCAGTGGTTGAAAGTCAGCCTAAGAACCAGTAAGTAGGTCATGGTTCGATTCCCGGTCAGGTACCTGCCTGGGTTGCGTGCTCAGTCCCCAGTGTGGGACGTGTAGGAGGCAGCCAATCAGTGATTCTCTCTCATCATTGGTGTTTCTGCCTTTCCTTGTCTCTTCCTCTCTGAAATCAATAAAAATAATAATAATTACAAAATACTGAGTTAAAAGGTCACCCTACAGGAGATGGCTGGGCTGGGAGAGGGTACCCTTCCCCCCTCGTATCAGCTTCGCCGCTCCATCACATGAGGATCCAGGGTCTGCTCTGCCCGGCCTGGCTCTCCATCCTCAGTCCCCTCCGGGAAGGTGCCCGGTGGGAGTGGGCCTTGGGGAGGGGGTGCTTTGCACGTGTGTGAACCTCGGGCCCAGCCCCTTCCCGGTGACATCCTGGTTGCTATAGTGCAGCTCTGTTTGTGACACGGAAAACACTGCAGAGAAACGCCGCTTCCTGGCCTGACTTCCTGGGCAGTCTGTCCTTCCGGAGCTGTGAGCGCGGGCTTCCGTGCGGCTCTGGATGGAGCGGGGCCAGCTCCCGGGCCCCGGGCGCCCTCTGAACAGGACCCGGGGGTAAGGGCCGCCTGCTCTCCCGCCCAGAGTCACCAAGCTGTCCTCCCCGGGGTCAGGTCCCCTGGCAGCTGGACTCCAGGGCGTTGGCACCTTCCCCTCCTCTGTTTTGTCTCCTCCGAGCAGCCAGGGGTGCAGTTGGCAGCTGTGTCTTCTGTTCCCTGAGCCGTTACTTGTACCTAAACCACCAGTGAAAACAGGAAGTGATGAAGCAGGCCCGCCTCTCGTGTGCTCTGAGCGACCTTCTTTCTCTTTGTCATTCCTCACCAGGGATAGACACGTGTGGCCGCCTGCACCGCGGGAGCCCGGGGCACCAGCGTGGGACACGGCCTCACCATGCCGCCCCCCGCGGACATTGTCAAGGTGGCCATCGAGTGGCCGGGCGCCTACCCCAAGCTCATGGAGATCGACCAGGTTGGTAATGCGGGGAGCGGGGTGGGGTTGTTCTCGGTGTCCCTTTGGTTCTGGGATTTTCGCAGACATTGATGGCTCTTTCCCCCTGGTCTCCTGGCTGTGCTGAGTCTGTGCGGTAATAGCTGCAGTGTGGTTGGTTTCTGTCCCACGCACAAGGGCGATGCGTGGCTACTTCAGTCCCCCAGCATCTGTGTGGACGGTGTCAATACAGGGCTTGTAGCCTGGCCAGCGTGGCTCAGTGGCTGAGCATGAACTTATGACGAGGAGATTAAGGTTTGATTCCTGGTTGTGTGCTCCATCCTCAGCGTGGGGCGTGCTAAGCAAGGACTCTCTCTCATCGTGGATGTTACTGTCTCTCTCTCTCCCGCTCCCTTCCTCTCGGAAATCAATAAAAACATATTTACTAAAAACAAAAACCAGGGCTTGTGTCTGAGGCTGTGACGAGGAGCAGGGGCAGTGGTCTGCGGGCTCCAGGCCAGCACTCAGCAGGGGCTGCCCAGCCTGCTCGGCAGGGACTCAGGGACACGTGCAGACCATTTCATGGAGGCAGCACAGAGCTTACTTATTTGAATCCTGCTTCTCTTCAGATTTGACCAGTGCATTGGAGTAAGGGCTTGCTAACGAAGTGAGTGTCCTGGGGCTCAGTCTTGGATCCCAAACAATTGTAATTTTGAGATTAATGTAAACTGCACTGAGAGTCTCATCCATTGCCTGGCAGGTAACACACTCTCAGGAAATGTTTGCGGAATAAAAAACCGTATCACGCCGAAACCGGTTTGGCTCAGTGGTAGAGTGTCGGTCTGCAGACAGAAAGGTCCCAGGTTCGATTCCCGTCAGGGGCACGTACATTGGTTGCGGGCACATCCCCGTTGGGGTGTGTGCAAGAGGCAGCTGGTAGATGTTTCTCTCTCATCGACGTTTCTAGCTCTCTATCTCTCTCCCTTCCTCTCTGTAAAAAATCAATAAAATATATATATAAAACAAAAACAAAAAACAACAACCGTATCACGATGACTCAAAAGAGTAGTTTTACCTAGGAGGCCTCCCCTTGCTGGAATGTGGGCAGCTCCTTGGTGAGGCTGGCACTTGCTGTGTTAGCACAGGTTATCTTGGAGGGCTACCTTGCCCTCAGAGCCAGGGAATCGAAGAAAAAGGGGCTGAACCTTAACACGTGTGAAGGGTACATAGAGCAAATGACAGCGATCCAGACGGCTTTGGCCTTTGCAGAGTTAGGGTGCCATGGCAACCCACTTTTTATTTATGTTCTTGATATTACTTTATGATTATAATCTGTTCTGATTTTTTTTTTTCCTGGTTAGATTTTATTGTGTGGTTGAAGGCTGTATAACATAGTGTGGATCCAAATAACTCATTAAAGTAAGTTCTGCACAGTAAGTCAGAGTTAGCGGAGCGTGAGTGTGCATGTGAGACAAGGTGAGTGTGTAGGGTTATTGTCAAAAAGGCCCCCAGGCCAGCACACCGCTGTCCTCATGGCTGCTCTTGGAGGTGTCTCCATGTGGCTCTGGAAGCAGCCACTCGGGTGGAGAAGCCCGCCCAGCACTTTTCTGTTCATTTATGCAAATGGCTGTTGGCCTTTTTCCCAGGCTGCTTGAGAGGGGCCACCGCTGGATGTTTACCCTGCTCCTGGGCCTGCTGGTGCGGACTCGGCTAGTCAGGCGGGGCTGTGGCGCAGCTGAGGGAACCGCGCTCGGTGCGATGGGAGCTGGCTCCTGGGCTGGCGCGATGCCCGGCGTCATGGACCCGCGTGCTTTCTGTCTTCTTGTTCTGCCGCCTCCGTGGGGCTGAGGACAGTTGCCCAGGCATCACCTGGGAGCTCATTAGACCTGCAGCGAGGTGAGCCCACCTCAGACCTCCTAGCACAGAACCTGCATTTTAACCAGACCCCACGCTGGCGCGGTTGGGAGTGTCTGCTCACGTTCCTGGGTCCCGTGGAGGCAGTGTCCTGCCCCTGCCCTGGGGGATGGCTTTGCTGAGTGTGTATCAATAATTAAAAAGTAAATTTAAAAATATTCGGGGCCCAGCCAGTGTATCTCAATAGTCCAGCATTGACCTATGAACCAGAGGTCAGGGTTCAAGATTCCCGGTCAGGACAAGAGGTGCTTGAATTGTGGGCTCGACCCCCAGTAGGGAGCGTGCAGAAGGCAGCTAACCAATGATTCTCTCACCACTGATGTTTCTATTTCTCTCCCTCTCCCTTCCTCTCTGAACCCCCCCAACAATATATTTAAAAACATAAAAGTATATTTGGGACAGTTTTAGGTTTACAGAAAAATAATGGCAGCTCAGGACAGCCGCCTGGCTCCTGGCTCCTCTCCCCTCTTGATGGATGTACTTGTCCCCGGGAAGCTTCCAGCTGCCTGCAGACCACCAGCAAGTGCTGGTGAAGCCCTCCAGGGTGAGCCTGGAGGGGGGTCTAAGGGACTGCCGACTGTGGGAAGCTGTTTCGAGGTCGTTAGACGCGTTATTTATGGCCCCGAGCGCGAAAGTCCATGCTCTCCACACCAGGATCTCCTCTCCTCTCAGGGAAGGTGGGCGCCGGCCATCCGGCAGGTGAGGGTCCTGGCCGTCATTTCAGGGAGGCACAGGTGCGCCTCAGACACTGGGCCAGGCGGCCAGGCAGCAGGGCCAGGCCCAGGGGCTGATGGGAAGAGGTGCAGACACACCTGGACCAGGTGGCCAGGCAGCAGGGCCAGGCCCAGGGGCTGATGGGAAGAGGTGCAGGGTTCCCCCCAGGCTTTCCTCTGTCGCTGCAGCCACAGCAGCTGGGATTGAGCGTTTTCACTGTGGAAGCTCTGGGGAGAGATTTTGTTTGAAGAAAGTCTACCACAATTAGAAGAAAAAAAAAAACCATGAAAGAGCCTCGAGCTTCCTAGTGATCTGAGATTCAAGTCAGATTCCTTATCGTGGCCTCAGGGGCTTTCAGCCTGAGTTCCTATTGCCCATGGGACCTCCTGCACCTCCCAAGAGCCCAGTTGTTTTTCGAAGCTGCCCCTTACAGGTGCAGCCCTGCACCTTTCCACACGTTAGCAGTCCCTGAGGCTCTGTTCTCACTGGCAGCGAGCCTGCCTCCTGCCTTATCAGCGCCCCACGCCTCTGACTCGCTCTGGTAGCACATGGGGGGAGGCAGATCATTTATAATATAGCCATTTCTCCATCCTTCTCGTATACCATTCCTGGCTGGCGGCTTTGATTTACAGTTAATATAACCTGTGGGCGTGGACCCTAAGCCCTGGCGGTCAGCCTGTGTTTTACACACACTGTGTCCTGGGGCCCATCATACTGACCTCCATTCCTGGCTTCCATAGTGAACAGTAAGGGTGGGAAGGGAGCTTCGGGGTTCGCCCTTCTCTAGACAGAAACACTCCACGGCACCCCTCCCCGGGGGTTGGGATCTTATTTCCCTGAAAGAAACAGCTGCCTGTGCTTTTGGGCAGGTGTGTCCTGAACCTGAGGTTTTCCCTCGACCGCCGTGCTTGTGTAAGACACGATTCAAGCCGCGTGATTTCACGCACCAAGACCTTTTGAAAGCTTCTTGATTGCACAGAGCACATGTCAGTGTTTGTGCTGGACATTGGAATCTGGCATCCTGTATGTAATAATGGCCCAGTAGCAGTACTAGCAGGTGCCATCTGCCCAGCACATGCCCTGTGCCAGGCGGCAGGTGCAGTGCCAGTGTGGAGTGGTGATCTCCCAGCACAGCCCAGCGAGGCAGGCTGTACACCTCCCCGTTCATAGTCGCCAGAGGCGCCTTCACTTGCCTGCGATCACACAGCTAGGAAACTCCTGGTTGGAAGCCAGCACGCCGTAGGACTGAAACCCAGGGAGTGTCTACTAATCATAAATCTGGTTGGTAATTCTTCCTTAAATTTATTTCTTCTCAGCTTTATTGAGCTATAATTGACATAAAATTAAAAGGTATTTAAAGTGTATATCCTGTGATGTGATGTATGTCTCCATCGTGAAAGGATTTCCCCATTTGAGTTAATTAATATATCCTCCACTTCACGTTTATGGTTCCTTCCCCCTCTGTGTGAGAACATTGAAACTCTGTGTTCTTAGCAGATTTCAGCTGTGCGGCAAGTACATCAGCGGAGGTGACTCTGTGTTCCACTACTCATCGTGTAGCTGAGGTGTGTGCCCTTTCCCGATCTCTGCCTACTTCCTCCACCCCCCCCCCCAACCCCTGGCAGCCACTCTCCTGCTGTTTCTATGAGTTTGACTTTATTTTAGATCCCCACTATGAGTGATTCCAGGGAGTGTTTGCGTTTCCCTGACTTAGTTAACGAGTTTGGTAGTTCTTTCTGCACCTCCCCATCTCTCCCACTTCCACGAGGTGGCTCCTGCCATTGACATTTGAGCAGATGCCCAGCATCGCCACGAGGACTGCTCCATCCACGAACCACGTGACTTCCAGGGACACGTGTCACGGAGGCAAAGAACAGGGACAATATGGCCAGTGGCCTGGGTTGTACCCAAGGAGCCTACCTGGAGGGAAACAGCACAGAAGGCTGGTTTCTGGGAGCGGCCGTCTGGCTGGGCGCCCATGAGCATGGACGTTGGGGGACTGACTTGGACTGGGGATCCGGCTGCTACTTACGTGCCGTGCGAGTGGGGACAGCCTCGGCTCCGCGAGGAGCATTGGCAGCACGCACACATGCTTTCTGGCAGCTGGGCCTTCAGTGAGATAATCACTCAGCACTCCGCTCAGCGATGCTAGCCATTAGGAGCCAATTACGGTTTCTTCCGAGGGGCTCACACAATAGAACATGCTTCTTAGGTTTCCAGCGAGACTGGAACCAATAATGGAAGCGTCCTCTCCAGTGCATCGGAGCCAACTCTTAGGAAAATGAAGACCCGCCACTCCCCAAACATCTCAATGACGAGAGCCTGCTCGATGGAAATGACTGAGCTCCACGGAACCAGTTTTGAATCCAGACCTTCAAGATAACAGCACATACACGAAGAATGTGCCTCATGCC